CTGTGGTTCTGGTGCAAACAATTCAGCAGCAAGACCCAAGTCTTTGATAGTAGTTTCATGGACATTTTATAGCGGGCTAATTGGCAGTAAATGTCCACTTTCCCAGCCTGCTGTGCCGTACAGCAGGTTAATCGAGTGCCATTTTTTTTTGTTCAAATGATTTTAATTATTGGAATGCACAATTTTTTTAATATGCAAATAAAATGTTTTAAAACCTGGATGGTATTGATGTGCTATCTTTTGGACAGTGATATCACAGGATGAAGCGTAAGTGCCTGTGTTAACGTGTGGGATGCTAGAAGACCTTTGGAGATTATTTAAAAAAAAAAAGGACCATGTTTTTGGCTCTTGATATATGTTCTTGCCAATTTCAGTCCTACAACACTTAAAATAGATTTCTTTCATTCCTATTTATATGCATCACAGCTAACTTTGTTTGCTTTCCTGTAAATATGCTTCGTTCTAATATTTATTTTTCAAACTTGAGATAAATCAGCATTTTTTGTATTTTTTTAAAACATTTCCTTTTATAGAAACCATTCTGTATCTTCACCCTTGAACTGCACTTTCTTCCCGCAAATATGTAATTAATCTGCATTCAGTTTAGTAGGCCATACAATAATAAACTGAACCTTAAATTTTTAGAATAAATACATGAAGACAGCAACAAGGGTAGCCAGACTCTTTTGCTTATTGTTGACCACTCATTCTTTGTGTTGTGCTAAAAGTAAAACTATTAAGGATCGTTTAATAAAGGGTATTCTGTGCAAATGAAATTCAGCAGAATTAAATATTGTTTGGATCTGTTCAGAGCTCCATTGGGTAATGTCTGTCTTATTAGTCACTGTATGATGATCTGACCTAGAATCTTGTTTGTAAAATTTTAAATTAATAATTTGGGGATAAAATCCATGTTAATTTAAAAAATAAAAATCAATTATGGAATAAAACAATCTTGTAAACCAGGAGACAGTAGCATGCCATTTCACATAACCTGCTTCGCAAAATTCATATGTACACATTCATCTCCCTTCCCTGTCACATGGCATTGGGTGAAATTCTGGACCCATTTTAAAGGCAATGGGCATCAGGATTTCATCCATTTTCTCCAGGATTTCATGGCTAAGCATATTGCAGCCTGAAATGACTCTTTTTTCATATGGATGTGGGGATGGTCTGTGAAGATCACTAATATTTTAGCTTATTCGGTGTATGTAAGACTTGGTCCTGCACTTTCTTCTTGATGCAGGATCAGCTGTACCCAGGGGTGCCATGTGAATGAACTGCAATGGAGACAGATTCATCCCTGGGGGTAACCCCATTGATTTCATTGAGCCTTTTCCCTGAGTAAGACATAGATCAGGGGTCTAATCCTGCAAGATGCTCAGTGCACCTAGTCCGTACTCAAAAGGTACTGGGAGCACTCACCACTTCGCAGGATGAATTCTGTTCTTGACTGACTTCTCACCAGCATGAGTGCACAACTTGATTCCTCTAGCTTAATACTTATGAATAGAATAAAGGCCCAATCTTGTAAAATGCTGTGTGGCCTTAACTCCCACTGAAGTCAATGAAAATTGAAGGCATTCAGCATCTTATATGATCAAGTGTTTAATAAGGAAGTCTACATATTCTAAGAACTGGGACTCAGTGAAATGCTGATTTGATCCATTGAAAATCCGTTGGCAAAAATGCTTCAGGATAATTCCATTATGTTTAGGGTGGTCCATTAGAAAATAAAGTCATGTTATCTTTGCTTGTGGTGTTAGATTTTTAGGCTTTCATTTTCTTCCTCATGCATTGTAGAAAAGGTACAGGAAACCAGTTAATTGAGTCTCTGAAAAATCGTTTAGACAATCACATCCTAGCTTCTGATCTTAATCAGCCAGCACAGGAAGTAGCATATGACTAAACTCAAGAGTGTTACAGTCTACATTGTATGTATGCGAGTCGTGGTCAATTAGAGTGGCGGTGAGCATCTGCTTGCACTGGTTCTCTGCAAAGAAAACCATAGCAATATCGGAGCAATATATTTTAAAAGAATTAGAGCACTAGACACAGAGGACCAGCTCCTCAGTGTAAATTGGTATAGCTCCATTTAAATCGATGAGCTATGCTGATTTAAACCAGTTGAGGAGCTGGCCCAATATTATGTATTTGTGGTACTGTGGCCAGTAGCTTCACATTACCTTTTTTGGCATGCATTTAGATTGATGACTCATGAACTTGACCTGTAGCTATTTGATTGCAGCTTTGATAAATTATAATTCAATGTGTATGTGTGTGTGTAAGTGAATATAGGATGGCTCAGGCAGTGTGTGTGTAAGTGAACATAGGATGGCTCAGGCAAATGGTAATTGGATATAGAGCCTTTCCCTTCTAGGTCACTGGTCCAAATGCACCAGAAGTCAATAATGTCCAAAGAGTGTTACCATCTGCTGGCTGTTTGGTGGCCTATAGTATATGATGATGGATTTCCACTCCAGACGGCTAAATGCAGTGCCTTGCATAATGACAGGTTTCAGAGTAGCAGCCGTGTTAGTCTGTATCCGCACAAAGAACAGGAGTACTTGTGGCACCTTAGAGACTAACAAATTTATTTGAGCATAAGCTTTCGTGGGCTACAGCCCACTTCATCGGATGTTAGTATATGATGAGTTTCCAGCCCAGTTTCCAGTAGAGACGTGATTACTTCACAACTGATGTGAATTAGTCCTATTGTCAGGATCCTCAACAGAGAGGCAAACCACTGAATGAATATATGCAGTCACCTAGGGTGACCAGATGTCCGGATTTTATAGGTGTTTTTCTTATATAGGCTCCTATTACCCCCCACCCCGTCCCAATTTTTCACACTTGCTGTCTGGTCACCCTACAGTCACCAGTTTTTGATGGTGATCCCTCCAGGTCAGATTTGAAGAATACTGGGGCTCATTCTCCATTGCTTTACACCATGTGTAGCCATTTATATCAGTGCAAAGTGAGTGCACAGTGGCTGCAAAACATTCCCCACAGTGTGAAAAGAGAGTTCTAAATATGGTAGCATCTTACTTTCACGTAGCACAAGTGTAAGTGAGCACATAAGGTGCAAGGCAGGGGAGAATCAGACCTACTATGATGCTCCTGACTCTTCTATAGCTATACTGTGGATAATAAACAGACGGGTTTAGGTTTAGGCTGTAGCGCTGTCAATCTAGCAACTTTCACCAGTATTAAATTCACTACAAAAATTACAGGCAAGAAACCTGGTTATGAGAAAAGGTCATTTGAAACAGAGCAGCACATATGGTTTTTGATCTCACATGCTGTGCAGCCACATCAGCCCAGCCCCCTCAGAGACAAAGTCTTTATGATGTCTGATGTGCTGTCTCTCCCACCCCCACCAGAAATGCGGCTCAGCTTTAGAGAACTGCCTAGGTTATGAAATGTTTAGCTGTGCCTTCAAGCTCTGAAGCAAATTGTTCATTTTAGGGTTTTAAATAAGATTTTTCACTGTCATACAAGCTGCAAGATATATGTATTGAACAGAAAACATACATTCCCAATATCCAAAATAGCTCCTTTGGTACTAAATTTATAGAAAAAAATTGTTGAGCCTTTCCTTAATGCAAACATTTAGGCTATTTTTGTGCAATGCTGAATGTGTGATAAAACACCACTTCCCTTAGTAACCTTTACTTCCCTAGTAACCGGGTAGAAATGAACACCAAAGACACATTTCTAGCTTTTAGTTTAATCATATGTGGCTAACGCACGTAGCCATTGAAGAAAATTATTTTTAAAAAGAAGGAATGAATAAGTACAAGTCCAAATGGTATATTAAAGTAATTCATGTGTTTGACTGTGGAAAATGATAAGCCAAGCTATGGGGATGATGCAAAAAATAACATAGGAAAGAGAAAATGGGCATTTTAATTCCACATATGGTAGAATTTTCTTTAATGCAATTAAAAATATAGTTGAAGTTTACTTATTCATATACATTAGTACAAATATGCAAATCAACCTTAGAAATCTGTAAGAGAAGGCTGGGGAAGGCAGTTTCCTCTGACAGCATTTGATGTGCTTGTTTTATACACTTTGCAATGCAACAGAATGGGAAATGGAATTGTAAATAAAACTGGCTATTTTATTAATTTGTATAAAAGCAATTTTATATATCATCTCTGTGTTATTTGTACACTGTTTGACAGATTAATTTGCCACCGTCCCTGTGATATAATTATTTTTAGAAAGCATTGTTGTTAACCATGTACCTATTTTAAAGCTGTATAACTTGTGACAAGGAAGAATCCATTTTCCCTCCTGCTCTGAGTGAAGGATTTCCAAATTAAAGGCCTGATTTCAATACTGCTGCCTTGAGCTTTCAAAAATCCGGAGGCAGACCCCCCAAAATCATGAGGGTTTTTTTTTAGAAATAATACATTTGGGGGTTTTTTTAATTTGCTTTCTGTTTTGCTGTGCACTGAGGTCACATTTTCCAGCTTTCCTTCTTAGCCACAA